AATAGGGTAACATTATCAACCAGAAAATTGGTATATTTAGAGAAACAGGGTAACATTATTAACAATAATGCAAATATATTTAGAGAAATAAGGTTACATTATCAACAATAAACCTGGTATATCTAAAGAAGCAGGATAACATTATCAACTAGAAACCTGGTATATCTAAAGAAGCAGGGTAACATTATCAACTAGAAACCTGGTATATATAAAGAAGCAGGGTAACATTATCAACAATAAACCTGGTATATCTAAAGAAGCAGGGTAACAATATCAACAATATATCTAAAGAAGCAGGGTAACATTATCACCTGGTATATCTAAAGAAGCAGGGTAACATTATCAACAATAAACCTGGTATATCTAAAGAAGCAGGGTAACATTATCAACAATAAACCTGTAATCTAAAGAAGCAGGGTAACATTATCAACAATAAACCTGGTATATCTAAAGAAGCAGGGTAACATTATCAACTAGAAACCTGGTATATCTAAAGAAGCAGGGTAACATTATCAACATTATCAACAGGGTAAACCTGGTATATCTAAAGAAGCAGGGTAACATTATTATCATTATCAACTAACCTGGTATATCTAAAGAAACAGGGTATATCTGGTATATCAGGGTAGAAGCAGGGTAACATTATCAACAGAAGCAGGGTAACATTATCAACAATAAACCTGGTATATCTAAAGAAGCAGGGTAACATTATCAACTAGAAACCTGGTATATCTAAAGAAGCAGGGTAACATTATCAACAATAAACCTGGTATATGTAAAGAAGCAGGGTAACATTATCAACTAGAAACCTGGTATATCTAAAGAAGCAGGGTAACATTATCAACAATAAACCTGGTATATCTAAAGAAGCAGGGTAACATTATCAACAATAAACCTGGTATATCTAAAGAAGCAGGGTAACATTATCAACAATAAACCTGGTATATCTAAAGAAGCAGGGTAACATTATCAACAATAAACCTGGTATATCTAAAGAAGCAGGGTAACATTATCAACTAGAAACCTGGTATATCTAAAGAAGCAGGGTAACATTATCAACTAGAAACCTGGTATATCTAAAGAAGCAGGGTAACATTATCAACAATAAACCTGGTATATCTAAAGAAGCAGGGTAACATTATCAACAATAAACCTGGTATATCTAAAGAAGCAGGGTAACATTATCAACAATAAACCTGGTATATCTAAAGAAGCAGGATAACATTATCAACAATAAACCTGGTATATCTAAAGAAGCAGGGTAACAAGGTAACATTATCAACAATAAACCTGGTATATGTAAAGAGATTGTATGATCATAATGATATTCAATAGAAAGTCATTATTCAGATATGGATACAACAAGTAGTAAAAGTTACTAAAGGATGACAATTATACATTGAAATTTAACATTTAATACGTTGTAAAACATAGTGGGAATCCGTGCGGGAACTACAATTAAAAAAATCCCACTTTTCTTTGAACGATAAATATAGTTATCTGGTAATGCTACATTGTACTACAAAGTACTGGGAATCTGCTGACCGCCATTCACTAAACCTTTACGATTCCAACTGGAAAAAGAAAAAAAGTGAAATAATTGCAACGTTTTCAAAACAGTTCATTTACCATCGTAAATATTTTAGCACAAACATAAAAATATATCAGAGTGGTCACACGTGTGAAACATAAAATGTTATCACTGGGGGTAATTCGTGAAAATCTATTCAGAATACTCACCAAGACGATAAAAATGTTTCATGATAGATCAATGTGTCATTTGAAGATTCACTCTTTACTTGACAATATGCTTAAAGATCAGCAATGAATAAAAACCTGTAAACGCTTAGATGTGATAGCAGTCCTAAATGTAGCCTTTGATTCTGTTTACAAAAATTACCGTTAGATTTTAAATATATATATATCCACAAATAATTTATTTGAAAAAAAAACTGTTCTATTCACCTTTAACTTAAAATAAATATGTATATAAATATTTATAGTATATTCATTATCGCAGCAATTTTAATTCGCGTCATTCCAGATATGAAGTCTCTAGTGACCAGTGAATTGGTCTACCTGTTTACCTGTAGTAAGTTACCACCAGCTTGAGCCCAAGCATATGTATATAGGCGTGCTGTAATCTGTCATAATAATTTTCGAGTAGAAGATTGACCTGTAAGGACGAGGTGAAAGTGTTGGTAAGGAGTTACTTCATCGCTGATGAAGATATTTTATATAACTATTATGACAGCCAGTGTCAGATGTTTCAAACAGTAAACATTGGTATGGAGATTAATTATCTCTTGTACTTAGACACGCCTCGTTATTATTATTTCAAAAGCTTGTGTCACTATTTCCGAAATGGAATATATTTTAATAAATTTCATAAATTTCATGATTAAGACAGTATTTTTAAGTTATAGTTATACGTTTTTTACTTTACAAGATGTCATTGATGTATCAAAACAAAAAAGTAAATAGCAACATGTCAACAGCATCACAATCCAAACTCAGATTCAATAAAACCAGGGCAAAATATAAACAAGGGAAGACTTACACATTTACATTGATGTTCCATAAGAAATGCGGCCTCTGCTTCATCGACGACACCGCCATGTAAATGTTTGTCAGACCATGTAAGTAATGTCACGTTCCCAAATCAGAACAAACAAACAAGAACAAAAGCAGTAGGCATACGAACGATCATCCAATTTAATAATTCCTAAGGAAATAGAATATTTCCCAAGGAGACCATTTTGATGAATACAGTTATACGTATCGATTATTGAACTTACATTCCTCTTTTTTTCATAATGCACCATTAGAAAACATACAATATGATACTCTGTAGGTGAGATGGGGAGCAGTTGTTGTATATTTAAATACCCATAAAATACGTATGATATGGCACTCTTTGAAGAAAAACGGGAGGAATTACTAACTTGTTATTTTTTGTTTTATTTTAACAGCACATTGTGAATATAAGTAGTCGTCATACAGGATTGAGAGGATGTTGTTTGGGACTATTTAGAAGCAGGTATTGCATTTAAATATAGTGCCCACCACATAAGATAAAGCATAAGCTATTTCACAAACATTTGCAAGATACACGTATACTATTTAGATTCCTGAAAATTTACAGAAAAAATAAATGTAAATTACAAACATTCATCAGATAAAATTAAGCAAATTGTGTTTTTACTGATGTGCGATCATTGAAATATATATAGATAAAAACAAGTCAGGAGTAGTTTTGAAAACCATCCTTAAAATAATACTATTATCTATGTCGATACGTCAGGACTAAGTGTGTATATTTACCACGCCCACCTGTCAGTAAGCTTGATTATCAAACATCGAAAGACACACAAGTGAATAGCACATTTTAATACAAATTTATAGTTAGATAAAGTAGATCCAAACAAAGAATTAAACTGCTGTTTCGTCCTTGTAGAACTCGTAAAATTCTAAGATAACTGAAAAAGTATTTTCTGTCCATAATAAATGTTTTAATTAAGCCAGGATTTGATCACAACAAAAACTGGTATATCTTTGATTACAATAATATTAGAAATAATACTTTTTTTTACCTAACATTCAGTGTTTTATTAACACTTTAAATGTTGAAACAATAGCACATTAAGTGTCCCTTAATTTGCCATTTTCTTTCCATCAAATCCTTTAAGTTTACATAATATCGTAACTGGTGTTGTTATTGTTGGCAGCGACAGAAAAGTTGTACTTCCGTAAATTAATGGAAAAAGACGAAGGCTTACCAAGCAGAAATTGATAATCACTAAAAAAAGTCGCCCATTGTTTAGTTGACGTTAATTAATGAGTTTAACTTTCGGTAGCTGTTATTGGTCCATAACACACGGCTACCAATTTATTATCTAAGCGATTGTACGTAAACCAGGAAACCCGGAAGTGGATGCGCCAATCGCCACAAGTTGCTGACCCGTTGACCGTTGGTAGAAACCCGGGAGCGATGCCTTGTTTTGACAAACAGAGTGAGTGTATGAGGACATAGATCGGTTATTCAGTTCATCATCAATCAAGGTGTTTCTGCGACAGAAATGCAGTAACTGGGTTATATATAAAGCGGGTACTCGTGGTACCTAGGCATACCCTCCTGATCCGCAGATACCACTCCTCAGGTAAGTCGAAACACTGCAAACATTGCTTTCAAAACTTGGCAATTTACATTGAAAACAACTATATGTATAAATATTTAGATAAATCGTGAAACAGTTTAGCATTGCTTTAATGCAAATTTATGAAATGGGGTTTATAATAACTTCGACATCCCATAATGAATACACCATGAATTGAGATTAAAACCATTACTTATCTTAATTAGCATTTCATGCAAAACGTGTAATTTACTTCTTATAATGCCCGAAATTTCATTAAAACAATTGTTGTGTACATAAAAGATGAATTCAGATATGGTTGACTTTTAAAGAATGTGATAATTCTCAAACCGCTGTCTTCAAATCTAGACTCGGGACCGGCTTCTATATTCTTTGCTGCTAGATAACATCTAAATGGCTTAGAATCAGCCTTCTTATTGTCTGTGCTCATGCCATGAATTTACATAATTTTTTCTTTCAAATGTTCTTTTGTACGATATTTCTGATAATGATAACTGTTATGTGTCTGATTTGAATATACAATTATACCTAATTTTTTTTTTTTTTTTATTTGTATGAAAACTACGAATACGATTGAATTATGTGGCTAGTGCACCTGACCAATTAAATTTTCATATGTACCTGAATCATTTTGGATTTTCCTCAATTGCCTTCCAGGCTTAAAATTATACGCCTTTAGCATCAATATCGAGTCCCCGAATAACGAAACATTCAGTATGATAAAATGGTTTGGCTTTAGAGTATATTAATCTAAATTTGTATGGAAAAGTGGTATTCGCTTCTATATAATATTTGATATCTGATATCAATTTGTAAAAGTTTTATTTTGACAGGACAATCACAATGAAAGCCGTGTTGTGTATAGCTGTTTTGGTTTTGGTGATGGCTCTGGCAGAGGCCGGTGGATATTATCCGCGTATGTACCATAAGGGTAGGGCATCAAAGAAGTGTAATCATCATGTCGTAGATGTCTCCTTAATGACCTAAAATCTAAATTGAATCTATTGACGAAATTGTTCATTATGACAACGGTGAATGTTGTTGGAAATGATATTTTCAGATATTTACCGATCGGATCCGCGCAGTTAATTTGAATTAGACTACCACTGGCCTAACGTCAATTGATTGTGAATTACTAATATTAGGGTGATATAACGACCCTTCATCGGAAGAGTTTTAAATGCGAGACATTTTATAGATTTTCGACAATAACTAAAGATATTATATAGAGTTGGAATCGTTAAGGTATTTATCACTCCTTACTTTACAGTAATATCAGTAGTGATTTATCAGACGGTATTACCCCTAAGTGTTGAAGTCATTATTCGTTCTTGCCTCGTAGTAAATGCAGTCGTTGTTTAGAAATCTAACGAATATGACATGTTTCCGAACTCCTACGTTATGAAATGTTCGTTTCCATACTGCATAAACGAGAAAGCGCAAAGAGAATGTTCTTAGGATGATGCAAACTTTTCAATAGATTAATCCAATATTTTTTCAGTATACTTACTGTGTAAGCGGCAATCACAATTGTTTTAATACAAACACGAAGACAAGAACTAGGGTGATGTTTCTCTGATGACATTGCTTTAACAGTCGTGTGTTCATTGTTTCTATGATTGACAATCACTATTCTTCTCATCATTCAGGCAGACCATGCTCCAAGGGTGGCAAGGGCCATTTCTATGGTGGCGGTTATCCTGTAACCTACCCAGCCTCTTACAGTACCTACAGCATGGGCTACCCCTCTTACGGGGGTTCTTATTACGATAACTCCTACATGGGTAGCGGATCTTACCTCGGTGGTGCCACGTACATCACAAGTGGAGCCAGCCCATACCTAAGCGGTGGAGGATCGTACATCAGTAGTGGTAGCTACTACCCGAGTAGTAGTGTATCGTACGCTTCAGGAGGATATCCCTCCACTTACAGTACAGGATATCCCACCACTTACAGTACAGGATACCCTACCGTCTACAGCAGTGGCGGTGGATACCCATACAGCGGAGGCAGCACCTTCAGTAGTGGCAGTTATCCTGCTACTTACCAGGGTTGAGGCAAGTCAAATCTTCACTGAAAAGTGGCATGGCGTTACATCTATTTCCATATCAATTCAGTGTGTTCACTGTTTACTTTCTATAATATTTGTTGTCATATCAATTAAAACGATTAGTGATTTGGGCTCTGATAATGTTATTTACTGTTTGCTTTCTATAACATTTATTTCCATATCAATTAAAACGTTAAGTGATTTGGGGTTCCCAGATGTATTTACTGCATCTATAATATTGGGAACCACGTCCACTCGATCAACAACGGGAATGTTCACTAACAGTTATGCGTTGTTCTTGATGATTTGGAAAAGTAATAAAATAAGGAAGTGCTGACTGTACATAATGATTTTTAATTCCAGAGTCGAGTGGATGCCTGACGATTTGCTTAAGTTTACGATTTTGAGGTCGCCATTTAGTCACACAAGCCAGCATGCTTCTAGTATAATCAGTCTCTCCTCCACTTTAAATATTCTGCTGTTTATAGTTGTTGAAAGTCTATTTTTGCCAGAAACATGTCACGCGATTTTCATTGTTAATAAAACTTGTTTAAACTCATTTGTTCTTCTTATAATTGTTGTCTATGTGTTATCATTGATGTTTTTTTTTCTGCATTCAAAACCACAAAATTAGAAAGTAACTCAAAAATATTGGGTGTAAGCCTTAATATTTGTTTCATTGTCTTCATTATTCGTAAATTTATCTGAACAAGGTGACATAAGATGCAGTTTAATATGCACAGAAACATATTAATGCTAAGTTATTTAAGTGCCAATGTAACTATACAAGTTAAACTAGAGAAAATCTGACACGTTAACAAAGGTATTTTAAGTAGTAATTGATTCTATGTCAGTAAAAAAACATTCATTTTATACTACTATATCCGAAAAAGGTTTAGCGGATATTCGTAATCCGCGGTCAATATAAATTTATTCCAAGTACCTGTGGATTTAATTGAAACTTGCTCAGAAAAACGTCAATTGAATAACATATATCGCAGTATAAACATCATAGGGATTTGTTAATTTGATATTAAACGTTCGAACTGATCAATGCGATTACATGGAAGTCCTGTATGGTTTGGTTTGTTATATCGGGAAATATGTTAACGCCTAATATGAAACAGGACGTTAGAGAATACGACATTTCCAATTTTAACTGAGCAAGATGTTAATGGCACGTGTTGTCGATGAAGCAGAAGACGCTTGTCCAGAACACTTGGTCTTATTCTGCTTGTACTTTTCAGTAGTTTCCGTATAAATCTTGTTTTGTTTATATTTTGTTAACATGGTTATTCGCAAATCGAACGTCAGGAAGCCGAAACTTTTTCCATATGCAGCGGAATAATCAATGAGTGAAGGTATTTCTGGATTCGGCTTAAGTAGGTCATAGTGCACGGTTACCGTTTTTGGGCCTGTCACTTAAAAGTCAAACAAATAGTGACATCCTAAACAGTGGCAAAAACATCATCCAAATCTCATTCAACTGTCCGTTGAAAGTGCAAGCAAAATATACTTTTGAATGCTACCGATAAAACACTTTGGAATAAAATGGTATTTAAATATGTCATTAAACTTACAGTATATTTATCTCTCATATTTGTTAAGAATAATACTATCCGTGGAATTTTATGTACTGGTATATAAGATGCTAGCCGTTACTGATTTACCAATATTTTACATAAATACGTGTGTGTGTATACATGTAATGTATGTCTTAAAAACCTACAAACATAGAAATCTAAGCAATTATGCCATATATAATCAGTAAATATATCTAAATAAGTGTACTTCAGAATACATCAGTGTCAGTCGTACATGTTAACATTGTAGATATATAGCTCTGTGTTATACCTACTTCAAAGTACCTAGCTGTACAATCTGTCGAACGAGACGAGATTTATCTCACTCACACACACACACACACACCCTACAATACATGCAATATACATACAAACATACATACAAACATACATACATACATACATACATACATACATACATACATACATACATACATACATACATACATACATGTCTGGAGAGTAATCTCTTATAGCAGGCATATATAATACATAGGAAACATGATGGACATATACAATGCAAGAGATTTAAAAACACACACTTACTTACTGACAGAGACGGGAGGTAACTCCGCAAAAACGATTACTGTGATCACAGCAGTTTTCGATGAAGCTGACGTGTAAATCTATCACCTGCTAACATTTCAATTAAATATCTAGATACGAACGACCTGGAAATACTATAAGTTATGTTATTATAGTTGTAATTATCTGGAAACGGGAAAATCAAAATAGAACATGGTACACAATTCACCATGTGGGTCATATGATATTTTATTGTAAGCTAATCTCATTCGGTTTATAGAAATAATGTTTTCCATCAAATAATCACATGATGATGTTTACTTCTCTTGAGGGAAGGATGTAGTCCCCCAGAACCGGCGGTCAGACGGCATTTTTCCTCTTTTTACAATCGAATAACAGGCACGAGATTTCATTTTAAGAAAATGATAAAAGTGTACGTTTTTGACAATCTTACTAATGCACAGGTAAAACGCGTCAGATTAAAAACATATACCAACCCGTGTAAGATCAAGATCTGGAAGGATATTTAATCTTACAAATAGAAAAACAAACGACAAAATAATATGGGTGTTTGATGATTTAGAAAAAAAGTGCAGCGACACTTGTAAACAAGAAGAGAACAAACATGGTCACACTTGTCTGAGAATGTCTGTCCCCAACTTTACGCCGAAGTCACGTTACATCTTGCCTGGTAGGCCCGTGATATAACAAACGTCAGTCATATTTGTCAATATTTGTCAAACACCTTGAGGCTTAGTTTTCGTTCAAATTGAGAAAGCTTTACGTCAACGGGCATATCTGCTTTTGATCAGTGGTAATTAAAATCACATTCTGTGTTTGACATGTACTCATTACAATTCATTAAAATTACGTCTTTACTCTGACAAGACGAATAGTACATCTTGAAAAAGAAATGTTATTCCCTTTGAGCTGTCGGTGCTGTTTCTGATGGACTTTGTGATGTTTTACGTTCTGTTTTAATCCATTCTCTCTACTCCATTTTCAAATCGATTTTTTATATCCTCGATAAATGTAATTTATGATATGCTTTTGAGAACAAAACAACAAGAAAATCACCAACATGTCAACATAATCATAATCCAAACTCAAATTTAATTACATAAGGACAAAAATATCAACAAAAGAAAGACTTACACTGAAACTGAAAGTACAAGGAGAATTAAACCCGAATTTAGTAGTATATGTGGTTGTAAGGCAGCTTTTCCATACATTCAAAGATATATGTTATAATTTTATTTAAAGAGATCAACTTCAAAATTTACTAACAAATTTATAGAAAAATATCAGATGGATCACCCTCCATAACAACCTTATGTTTGTCGTAAATTCAGCCAATGGAACAACATTCCAAGAGAAAACAGAGCTTGCTGCCTTTGTAACAAAAACTCAATGGTCGAGACGACTTTCATTATTCAACTGTAATGACAGACAAATATTATTAACAGGACATTTTTATCCAGATACTATTTTGCAAGTCCCCATAACTATAAGTTCAACACTCTATTCAACAACATAGTTGATGATGAATTGAGCTGTAAAATAGTAAGTGATCATCATAACTCTATTAAGTAACACAATGGAATGACTAGCAATGATATGTCCTGTATATGACTCCTACCATGACTTGATACGGTCAAGTGTCTAAATTTCTTGTCATTGTCGTTTTCGTATGTGAATGCTACGGTATTGATTGTAATTGGGCCATGACTATTTTATAAGGGATACATTCCAATAAAGTTTTAATTCACCAGTAGCCCATCTTTACGTATGAATATTGCAGATCTCTATTCTAAGTTTAATTACTGTATATGAACCAGAATTACAACTGTAACATTAAGATTTCCCTTACTAATATATCAGTAAGTTAGGCGGAGGAGGCGGGCGTAGAATTTTATATTGTGACAACTGCCACACGTATTTACTTTTACTCGACTGTGTGTACTTACACCCTACGCGAATCATTAGTTACTTAATTGATACAAGAACTCCAATGAAGTTCTTTTATATGAGTTCGATCTATGAGTGCCAGTGATACAGGAAATACAGTGTTCTATATAGACTGTAAAGGTCACTGGCCCGGGGCGACAAGAACAACACATATAGCAATTAGAGTTATAAATAAACTTGTCACTTGTCAACTTCTCAATAAATTATGATCTTAATGTTGAGATGTTACGATGTTTAATAAATAATAACCTTTAGTTACCATTGCATTTGTTCAGTAGAGGTTAACAATGTGTATAATATGTTCCGTCTCTAGATCTTCAGTGCCTTTATTAAGACTGCTTTCTGTTTATTGTTCGTTCATAAAGGACCCTGTATTGGTCCGTGCGGCTTATAAAAGAAAAATATGTTAGTCAGGTTCTCAATACAACTTTTTTTATTTGTACAGCAATATGTGAATCGATTTTGTATTATTTTTATTTCCCTGAGTCTATGTCTGAATAAAATGTTCACCTATTTAATACAATTAAGTCATTAAATTTGAATTACCTGTTTGGTATGGTGACTGATATGTGCCATCTGCTACTGTCATCTTTTCACAATAGTTATCCTTCCGTTATTTTTATATCAACCCGAAAGAACGACATTTGAAATCATTATTAATTTTGCCATGCCGTTCTTTGTCCTCAAGTACAACTGTTATCCGGTAAGTTGTCGCGATTTAACATCTGGTCCATTCACACACACAGTTTCGCCATTTCTTCTTGATCTTCGTCCAATTGACCTTTCAAAGACATTTACTATTTTTAATTGTCGTTCTTTGACCCAAGTGAAGGTAAATATGTGTCGTTGATACAGACCGAAGAGACGACGATTAAGAATATCGTCCTTTCGAAGCGAAAGACTGAAAGGACAAGAAGAAAAATATCAGGAGAGTGTGGGGTAGGGGTGGGGGTGGGTTGTTGATCAACGAAAAGCGATAAAAAAGTGAGATATCACCTTTTCGATGAACTAAAGGCATGGGAGAAATCGTTTAATTTAACTGCTAAGTGTAATACAGAATTGTCACCACTTACAATACACGAGATTCCTATTACCTTGAAACGTGCTTATAAAAGTAACACGGAAATAACTGGCAACTAAAACGATCAAGTGAACTAATAAAGTGAGAGAAGCATTAAATGTCTGCATTCTATCGATCATATGAATAAATATCGTAACAGAAGACATCTAATTTTTCCATTCTTTCGATCAGGATCATCCACATCTATACACTATATGATTGGTGTCGCTACTATCATCGGTTGTTATACTTAATGATGAAGACATTTATAAAGATTGTACAAAAGACACACCAGTGATTAGAACCTTTTGATAAAAAGATACTGTAGAGCTAGTCGATGTTTTAACTGCGCGATTCGACTGTTTTGTCCCCAGTCAGTGACGTCAAAGTTTGAAATCAAAAGAGGCGACTGAGTAAAATTTATAGGTGATCGAAAAAATGTCAAACTCTGAATGGATATCTGATAATTATAATAAAAAAAGTCAGGTGCATGTGCAAATTATGAACAATGCTTTAATAGATGTCGTGTGATAGAGCAACACTGGTGAATGACGTTGATTAACATTATAAGCATGTGTACTCTATCTGATAATGAGAAGATTTACAAGGTGTTATTTAGTGATGTTGGAACGATCACGTGCTTTGTCTGTTGCTAGTGACGCTGTTTGGCTCTTCTTTATGTAATTCTACTTTTTAAGAATTATATACAAGCTTGGTGTTTTCCAAAAATGATTTATTGATGATATTTGTTGAGATAATATCAGTAAATGTGTAACTCATTGTTTCATTCCTATTGAAAAGTTGTACCTGATTGTCACGACAAGAAGTCAATGCTGTTGGCTAATGTAACTTATCATGTTTATTTAAAAACCGGTGATCAAGATTTTTCCAACACAGATATACTTTGTTTTATTATTACAGGTCATATATAGTGTAAGTAGACAAACAATCCTACGGTCAGTACGTTCTAATCGCACTGGCCTTTCACACAAGGTGGTTTACACGCTATTTAAAACTAAAAAGGCGTTAAATATTTGATTTGAGCTGCCGTATAATTACAATGATGATTGTTTGTGAAATGTTCCCGCAGGTCTCCATATTCCGGTTCTTCTGTTCAGTAGACCATGTAAATATTATACAGTTCATTTACATGGAGTTGATCAAACACAGGTACAAAGATGTGTTTGTATTCCTGACGAGGAAACATTTGAAAGGAAAAGTACTTGTTAGATTTCACTTCCCACCCGGCCCGCCTTCGTTTGTTTTGTATCAAAACTTAGTCATGCACACGTTGTCAAGTCTAATATTAAATACAGATATATATGGAGTATATACCTGTATATACAGTAGCATTATGTTTCTACTTTCCAATCAACGGGGCGGACACTCACTCAGCGGACATGTAGTGAAATCAATTGGCCAGGAAAGAAAACTCGAGTACTTTTGTTTAATGTCGAAGAAGTAAAGTTGTCCTATGGCTATACTTATATATCGGAATGTAAATGTATGTTTAAAATTTATGCTCAACAACTTGGGTGTCGCGCGTATAGAGTAGCTGTAAATTTTGTATTATTAGAGTAAAAGGCTCACTGTGGACAGTTTAGTAGTTGGCACTTTGGCGCGAGGACATGTGTAATATTGTTACCAGATAGAGATGCCACTAGGAGCCTTAGGCCCTCCATACACAGGACCCAACTGCTTAATACATGAGAGAAATGCTAACTAGTGTGAGGAAACTCCAATATGGAATATCACCAACATATACCATTTTACACAGAGTTGTGATAGCATCAAAATGTTTGTCGCATATAGCACTGCGATGTTTAAAGTGAGGAGTCGAGTTATTTATCTTTAAGTTTGTTGATGTGTAAGAGGCTTAAGAACACTTGTTAACATATAGGTAGCTTGTAATACAACAACTGCCAATCAATATGGGTATTTAATACTTCTGTATCCACGCGTGTAGAACACCGTTGTGTACCGACTGATGAGGATAACTTTTATACAATGGCACATATGCAAAAAAAAGTTGTGGATTTTATTTCCAAAAAACCTTCGGATAGGAAGGATGTTATCATACCGATATTTCTACCCTGGCTGAGGAAGAAAAGCAACCTCCTTCAGGATATGGACAAAGGTAAGACGCTGCTCATGTTAGCTACATCTGAACACCATTACGAAAACAATATATTGACGAATATTTGTTTTCAATGTAGTAATAATGGTGATCGTATTTTAGAGTCACATCAGAGTTGTTAGTCGAATGGGTGTTGCTGTGGGTGCAGTTTACTATGTACATGTATATAAGGGCTGATAGATTTCCATACCTATGGGGATGTTTGGGTAACCGTGATTCTTTGGGTTAGTGGGGTTACTATGCCTCTCGGTGTTAACAGGTAACTATGATTCTCGGGGCTGATAGGTAAATGTACATATGTGGTTTGTTGGATAACGATGCATCTCGGAGTTAATGTGCACAGCACATGTGGGTAGATGGGTAACTACAAGATGCATGCAAGGGTTATTGGAAGGTTTAGAGGACATGGAGGATATACGTTAGGGTTTGTGGGTTAATATATACATGCAAATGTAGGAATATTGTTAAAGTTTTACTAATGATCGGGACAAATTCGATAATATGACATACTTCAAATTAGCATTAAGGGAGTATTTCTATCGAAAATTCAAGGTCTAAGTTAATGTTAAAAAACGATGTTTTTCTATCCGTACAAATAAATTAACAGTATGCTTTTGTATGTAAAAAATAGGATTACAGATTTAAACACTCCCTATTTCCAGTGGTTGTCATCAGATAAATACAGAGGTTATTGTAGATATGTAAAGATTGACAGTATGAATTTACTATTATTCATTATATAATTCAAACAATGGCAAACCATTTAATGGCAAGTGACTGGAAACCTTTATCGAACAAAGTCACTTTTGTACCGAGGTTACCATGACATCAAGAACAAACACACATCTTTAAAAGTATCACATAGGTAGTGTTGTTTATGAAATTGTAAACTTTCGGCTGAAGGTTGAATAGAGTTGTGTACAGATATCTTTAAAACTTTGTTCTATGTGGTATGATGTGATACCATCTAAGCGTTCTATATCAGGTTCGTGTGGTGTGTTACTCTAGATTTATGATAAACCTATTTATACGCTTTCTCAAGACCATACACATCCATAGACAAACATTTATGGATGACTACAAATTACATACATTTTATTTCTCACGCGTCAAAGATAATTACCTTCCGGGTATAATTAACAGTTTCTTTTGACAATAAATGAAATTAAACTTTGTAAAGATTTAAGGTGTAAGAGGATATTCCTACATAGGCTTCAATATTGACGTGGTTAGAAACATCGAGTATTCAAATTAACGATAATTTGGTCTAGAGTACAAACAGGTGAATGGACTAAGTGACAAGAGAACTGTCTCTTTATAGATTAGTATCTGTTATATATCCATGGTTCAGCGACCCTCAATGATTCTATGCCTTCTTGTATAGAAGAACCACACAGTAATCTACCAATATTCGTTTTTTTAAATAATTACAAATCATTCATTTAATCAACATATATGCTATAACGTGCGTCATTTCAATAATGACATTTGAAAATAAACGTCTAAATTTGCCATTATTACCCATTTGGAAAAACTCCAGAGTGATTTAGGATTTTAAACTGGTATTCCTGGTATACCTTCACAAACATATTTTCAAAAAAGAAATCTTAAAAAAAAAGAAAGAATTTGTGTGGAATTTCATGACTGAAGAGATAAGTAGTCTAGCTATAATTAACTATAGTTGAATAGTGAAATAAAAAAGACCTAATACAAAAATAGACAGTAAGATCTTAATGTCTACGTCCTTTTTTGTAAGATAGTTTTCACATGATGTATGCTAAGACAGGTAAAAAGTAACATTAACCGGAAATTTATTGAAATATGAAGTTATTGCATCTCCTCGTTTAGATTTTATAATGTTTCTTCTATCACGTTTGATTTGATTTCCTTCAGTCGCCTCCTAGGTTTCAAAATATGGGCACATATCATCACTGACAAGACTTGGAAGGACGAAACAGTTGCACGTGGAAGTTTAATCCAATATTTTGCTCTGCTTTCTCTGATTCTATGTATTTAAAGCCGCTATTTACTTGTGTGTCTTTTGCACACTCTTGTGATTCCGGGTGGTAGACACTGCTTGTGGACCTTTTGTCCCCGGGCTTTGCGTTAATTGCATGCTACTTAAGTTCATTCTAATGGTGTTTATGAATGTACACACGTATACTTGACATTCCTTGGAAGTTATCAGATGTATGTAACGTCTTATAGGTTTTAAAATGTATACTGGTAGCATCACTGACGAGTCCTAGAAGGACGGAACATCTGCATGATGCAGTTTAATTCATTTTTTGGCTCTAGGTGCTATTTTTGTACATACTTAACATCATTAGATAAAAAAATTGCCCCAGGAAAGTAGCTGACGCAAAATATGATTTAATAACCTCTGTAATGTAAGTTAGCGAAGAGAAGATAATTATATCGCTCACGTTATATAATTTGAAGTTAATAATTGATAATATGGTCAGTCTGTGTCAGTACCAAGGCCATTGATACCTTGTTATGGGTTGCATAATCGGCTTACATTACCACGAGGGTGTCACTGTGGCAATAACCTCACTAGCCCGTCTATAGGAATAGAGTTGGTATCAAACACCGTCGCCAATCAATTAGGATTGAAATTATATATGAAAAACATTGACTTAGCCAATTCTCATTTCACAACAAAGCATATTAAAGGTGGTTGTTGTCTTGCAATCGTCTGGTTCGAGTGTGTTCGACCTGGGGCTGTGTACATTAACACGCAGGTATAGCATGGAACTACACACAGACCATACACCGATAACACTGTACTGTCAATATGTTTTCTTAGCTCAATTACATATATTTAGATTTATTTCTTGTCCTTGAATATCACTAATACTTTCATTTCTAAACGTTTGTGTACATTTATTTAGCAACCTTTATACATATATATGTAGTTAGGAGCTTATAACAGGCCCATTTCAATGGAACATCTGCTTCCACGTCTGACCAAATCAAATTTGACCAATAAATTACACGTTTATTGAATTAGAACATTTATTCAATCAAACGGTTTATTCTCGTAAGAGGTCAAATATAAGATGCAACGTTTGTGTAGATTTGTCTATCTCGGAGTTCTTCAGCTTACAATGGGTTTAATATAGATGTTATTTTCGGATCACATACAAACTAACGTTATATAAGTAGCTTAACCGACCTTATCAAATTACCTGGATTCTACGAAAAATCTTCAAACACTTAACAGCAGATAATAAGTCGGAGTTGTTCTTAATAAATGTCTCGTGATTAGTATGGTATTACGGTTGACTCTAATGTTTAGTTTTTTTCTTTATGTAATTTTAAAACAACAATGATAAGTTCACAAAATCGTCATTCTTACTCGATAAAAACTGATAAACAATGTACATTTTAGAATAAAATAAGACCAGGTGTTGCTAGAGGGAAGGTGACTTCTACTATATAGTTACAATTACTGGAACCATCACGTGATAATTGTAAGGTTTGATCACGTGATGGCTAACATTGAAAACAAAAGCACCGAGTCCATCAATAAATGAAAACGTGTAAAATCTTGTATGACAAAATGAAATAGAACATTGCCCCAATGATATTTGGACAGAAATAAACTGCCCTTACTCTTTCTAGTTCTGGTAGAGTCTAAATCTTTTTAATATGATTACAAATATCATTGGTAGTAACATTGAAACGTTTCGCACATTTATCAAATTTTAGAACAACAATGTATATTATATGTAATGTTTGTAAAAGGTATTATATAGTTTGTTACTGGTATTTAGAATACATCAAACTAGAACTTATGAACTCCATTCCCTTATAATATAGGATATCACAGGTGCGGAATAGTAGATAAAGTAAGGCATGATCTTTATAATCATGGGTACAAAGGACACAAACGTTCCACGTTAGTTTATAAAGCGACCATGATTAATTTGCGAGGGTATTGTCCGATTGGGGAAAGAGATTGGTAAAGTCAAATCTTAAATTTACCAGGTATGTTTGTGTAAAATCTCAATAACAAATAGATTGTCAGAATCAATGTTTACAAACTCTGAACTGAAGAGTTCTCCATTCAGAGTGTTGTCCATACAAGTGAATTATGAATCACTTGAAACATAACAACAATAGACCAAGGTTGAGGACAACATGATCACGCGGAGATAATAAATGTCAAGAATAAATATCGTTGTTAGCGTTCAGTCCGTACAATTTTTACTACCTTAAAGTGTTCAAATGTAATTTGTAGCAATCAATGTTATTCATATCAGAACTTCAGAAAAAACATGGGACGTCCATGTGAAAATGTTGCAAAATCGCATAATTTTAACCTTGCAGAAATTCTTCACGTTAGACGCGCTATAATACTAATCGTTTTTACAACACTTAAAATATTTTCACCTGAACACTTTACAAATATGCCACATGTTCATACAAGTTAAACTTTTGCAAGGTTGTCACACTCCAAATTGAAGAGTACTGGCGACATGAAAGTTATACAGTACTAGCAATATCGGAACTTTTGAGACATTTGAACATCTCTGCCACACTGTACCTGTAAAACCCGATCTAATCAATAGTTTACACTATTGTAACTAAACTTTCCGTATCAATACGAGGTTCTGTAGTATAAGCTTTACTATCAGGACATATCAAGTGCACCAGAATATGTCCATCATCCATTCAAATCTACCATCATCCATTCAAATGTACCAGCTAAAAAATCGAAAACCAATTACATTCATGGATTTTTTATGTTGATGTGATGATAAGTATGGTTGTTTTGCCTGCAATCAATAACTTTACAGAGTGATCATTGTTTTTACAAAAACGATTAAATACCAACATGTCAACTTAATCAATACTCAAATTCACTAAAACTATGGCAAAATATAAACAAAAAAAAAAGAGATCTACACGAAGACTCCGGAGAAAGTATCTGGAGAAAAAGGATGAGATGTTTTAGGAGATAAAGCATCTCCTGCTTCATCGACGTCATCCGCCATGTAAACATTTGGTCGATCCAAGTAGGTAATGTCACTTTTTCAAATGAGAACAAGGTATACAACAACGCAGCCAACAGGCAAACTAACATCGACCACGCCAAGCTTCATATCACACAAAGAAAAAGAATATTTCTCAATGAGAAATTGCCGAAAAACTGCCCGTGAAGCACAGGAAACTTGTCCTCAATGTTATGAAATTTCACAGAGAGGAACGAATAGCGAAATGAGAACAAGGAAACAATAACGGAACCACAGGCTTAATAACAAACATCAAACATACCTAGTTTAATATCGCAAAAGGAAATAGAATATTTCATCTTGACGACCGTAAAACTTCGCCATGATCGTCGTGATTGTCGGCTGGCTACACGGAAATTGTGATATTGGGGACAGGCCTTTGAAATCAAATCAACTGTGAAATGTACTCAGCATAGGTCGGGGAACCAGGAATGTTGCTATCTCATAATGGTAATTTCGGAAAATTCACAAAAGGGAATTCGAAATCAAAATTTAGGCTTTAGCATCAAAGATGAGCCCTAGAAGGACACTACAACTGTATGAAGTAGCATCACTGACGAGTCCTAGAAGGACAACTGTATGATGTAGTATCACTGACGAGTCTTAGGAGGACAGCTGTATGATGTAGCATCACTGACGAGTCCTAGAAGGACAGTTGTATGATGTAGTATCACTGACGAGTCCTAGAATGACAGTTGTATGATGTAACATCACTGACGAGTCCTAGAAGGACAGCTGTATGATGTAGTATCACTGACGAGTCCTAGAAGGACAGTTGTATGATGTAGTATCACTGACGAGTCCTAGAATGACAGTTGTATGATGTAACATCACTGACGAGTCCTAGAAGGACAGCTGTATGATGTAGTATCACTGACGAGTCTTAGAAGGACAGCTGTATGATGTAGCATCACTGACGAGTCCTAGAATGACAGTTGTATGATGTAACATCACTGACGAGTCCTAGAAGAACAGTTGTATGATGTAGTATCACTGACGAGTCCTAGAAGGACAGTTGTATGATGTAACATCACTGACGAGTCCTAGAAGGACAGCTGTATGATGTAGTATCACTGACGAGTCTTAGAAGGACAGCTGTATGATGTAGCATCACTGACGAGTCCTAGAAGGACAGCTGTATGATGTAGCATCACTGACGAGTCCTAGAAGGACAGCTGTATGATGTAGCATCACTGACGAGTCCTAGAAGGACAGCTGTATGATGTAGTATCACTGACGAGTCCTAGAATGACAGTTGTATGATGTAGTATCACTGACGAGTCCTAGAATGACAGTTGTATGATGTAACATCACTGACGAGTCCTAGAAGAACAGTTGTATGATGTAGTATCACTGACGAGTCCTAGAAGGACAGTTGTATGATGTAACATCACTGACGAGTCCTAGAAGGACAGCTGTATGATGTAGTATCACTAACGAGTCCTAGAAGGACAGTTGTATGATACAGTGTAATTAAATGGTTATGTCTACTGTATGTAACTCTAAAGCTGTATCAAAATGTGTTATTCAATTGTGTGTCTTTTGTATAATCATCTAGATGTACATGACGGTTGTCTACGATCCGGTAGAAGAAATGTACAGTTAAAAAAGATAGCGTGTATAATTTATACAAATATGTTTTCTGCACAATATATGGAAACAAGTTTTCACACAAGTTATAAAGTTGGCACAATAGAAATACATTGGCTCATTCTAACAATGAAAACATTCTGTGGACGCAGTCGTTCGCTTTGGTAGATGTAATCTGCAATCGTTCAGAGCTTACATCTAACAATAAAGAGTTCAATATTGATTCTTTTACGTATTAGATATTGTTATGCTGCCTTCATGAAGATAACAACAACAATCATATAATGTTACTCTTAAACTGTCAGGATGGACAATGTATTGCAAAACCGCATTATCATTGGGCACAACGTGCTCCTTGTTTTCTAAATGTCAATCATTTACATTGTGAATTTAAACAACTTTTTTGAGGATTTTTTTTATTTTCAGATGTCCTTACTGACGTCATGAGGAACTGTGCATATCAAAAGGCAAATCGTGATGACGTCATCATCACTCAAGGGGAGCAAGGAGACAGGTAAATGGAGAAATCAGATACAGGGAGCAAAATCGGACACTTTGGAATACAATGAAAGTTGTAGGGGTCAAAGATCGATTGTGTTAGAAGGAATATAAACTAAAGGGTAGTGATTGATTAGACTTGGGACCGGAATGGAGGTGTAAATCTCGTTTTCGGAGATTGCGCCCCGATATGAAGAAAGAAGGATATTTTTAGATGATTTCGGACCGGATATAAAAGGTAGAACCCTGGTAGAGGAACACTGATAGAAAAGGTCAGCTACTTGTCGGTAGGGAGGAAAACTTGTCCCGGAGAGGGAAGATTCTGTAGCCTATAGTGTCATTCTATGCCATTGATAAAAGTTTATATACCTTTATAACCACAATTAAAACATAACCACATGAGGTTCACAGTGTTTTGTACTACACCACATTCGAATTCGTATCTCTGAAAGGATACAAGCAATATTGGTATTCAGTGTAGGCTGTGGGATGTAAACAGAGAAAGAAAACAATATTTGATGAAAAGGTAATATAATTATATGTACAGTAAGAAACTGAACACCACAATAAAGGTAAAATAAATGGGACATTGTTGTGACTAACAATATAAAAACAAGATGAAACATCAATTTGGGAAAGAAAAATATTTTCCCACAAGCGACCTGCTGGATATTGACAAGGTTTTCAGTGTAATAGATCACTATCGTCACTGTCTCTCCTCGGCTTGTCTCTCATGAACGTCCTTGGCCGGATTACCATATTGATACATTTCATTAATCGATTAATGCCATTGTTCTGCTGTATATATACAGTGTATACAAGTACAGATTGAATAGATTTGTTTAACAGAATCTATAACTCACTTTGCTACGGACGCGATCTATTTCATTTTCTCTGGCTATCGATAGGCACACAGAATATATAACACTGTCTTTTGCAGTTTTTACATCATGTTGACGGGCAGAACCTCCGTATATATCACTCCGATCAAAGTTGAAGACGACCAGCAAGATACAACGGCGGTCAGTCAGGAACAACAAGAAAACGACGACACGAAAAAGGATATTGATGAAAGTTCACAGGAAGAAGAGGAAACAGACGAAACTGAACCATTAGATCGATCGAAATTTGGAAAATTCATCATGCACTATGGTAAGAATTGTTTTGTTTTCTTGCTGTTTTTATCTTCATGTATCAACAGGTTTTTGTTTCTTTATGCGTCAGTTATGGTGTAATTCCTATGCTGTTTTGTATATCTTTCCTGTTATGTCTTACATATATAGGTATGTATATATATATGTCTATACATTTTTATATCGGATACAATGAACATGTTATTTTCTTTCTATTTCTGCTAATTTGCCTTCCTTAGAAATTAATTATCACCCTGTTGTTCCAATCAATATTTCAACGCCCCTGACCATTCATAGTAGTTTGTTAAAACGAATAATACATTTATGTACAATTATTTCTTGATCACAAGATGTTGCGTGTCATTAACATTACAGAATAGTTTAGAAAACAACATTGATTGGGGAATGCTTTATGTAATAGCTGTCGCCCACTTGTACTCGTCTTTATATCCTGATCAACACGTAATGTTAAAACACACAATAGTATTTACACAAACTATCGATCAATTAATTATCGAGTCTCTGTGGTTTTGCAGGTTCAAAGTCTTATTTGAGGCGTTCTGAATATCGATAAAATTTGAAAGACGTTGTATTCTTATGGCCGTGTCTGGTTGTGTTCCTACAAAATGTTATTGCAGTCATTATATGTTATCTAAGAAAAATAAAACACAGAGTCAATTGGAACCATAACATTTCAAAATATGATGGACACGGTATATTATGTAATGTGACAAGTATTGAATGCTTGATATTGAGTAATGAAAACAGTCATGAGTGTGGCAGACCATGGGTATGTGTGACATTGTGTAATATAACAGACCATGGGTATGTGTGATATTGTGTAATATGACAGACCATGGGTATGTGTGATATTGTGTAATATGACAGACCATGGGTATATGTGTTATTGTGTAATATGACAGACCATGGGTATGTGTGTTATTGTGTAATATAACAGACCATGGGTATGTGTGATATTGTGTAATATGACAGACCATGGGTATGTGTGTTATTGTGTAATATGACAGACCATGGGTATGTGTGATATTGTGTAATATAACAGACCATGGGTATGTATGTTATTGTGTAATATGACAGACCATGGGTATGTGTGATATAGTTTAATATGACAGACCATGGGTATGTGTGATATTGTGTAATATGACAGACCATGGGTATGTGTGATATTGTGTAATATAACAGACCATGGGTATGTGTGTTATTGTGTAATATAACAGACCATGGGTATGTGTGTTATTGTGTAATATAACAGACCATGGGTATGTGTGATATTGTGTAATATGACAGACCATGGGTATGTGTGATATTGTGTAATATAACAGACCATGGGTATGTGTGATATTGTGTAATATAACAGACCATGGGTATGTGTGTTATTGTGTAATATAACAGACCATGGGTATGTGTGATATTGTGTAACATAACAGACCATGGGTATGTGTGTTATTGTGTAACATGACAGACCATGGGTATGTGTGATATTGTGTAACATGACAGACCATGGGTATGTGTGATATTGTGTAATATGACAGACCATGGGTATGTGTGATATTGTGTAATATGACAGACCATGGGTATGTGTGATATTGTGTAATATGACAGACCATGGGTATGCGTGATATTGTGTATTGTGTAATATGTGTGATATTGTGTAATATGACAGACCATGGGTATGTGTGATATTGTGTAATATGACAGACCATGGGTATGTGTGATATTGTGTAATATGACAGACCATGGGTATGTGTGATATTGTGTAATATAACAGACCATGGGTATGTGTGATATTGTGTAATATGACAGACCATGGGTATGTGTGATATTGTGTAATATGACAGACCATGGGTATGTGTGATATTGTGTAATATGACAGACCATGGGTATGTGTGATATTGTGTAATATGACAGACCATGGGTATTGGGGATATTGTGTAATATGACAGACCATGGGTATGTGTGATATTGTGTAATATAACAGACCATGGGTATGCGTGATATTGTGTAATATAACAGACCATGGGTATGTGTGATATTGTGTAATATAACAGACCATGGGTATGTGTGATATTGTGTAATATAACGTGATATTGTGTAATATAACAGACCATGGGTATGTGTGATATTGTGTAATATAACAGACCATGGGTATGTGTGATATTGTGTAACATAACAGACCATGGGTATGTGTGATATTGTGTAATATGACAGACCATGGGTATGTGTGATATTGTGTAATATAACAGACCATGGGTATGTGTGATATTGTGTAATATAACAGACCATGGGTATGTGTGATATTGTGTAATATGACAGACCATGGGTATGTGTGATATTGTGTAATATGACAGACCATGGGTATGTGTGATATTGTGTAATATAACAGACCATGGGTATGTGTGATATTGTGTAACATAACAGACCATGGGTATGTGTGATATTGTGTAACATAACAGACCATGGGTATGTGTGATATTGTGTAATATGACAGACCATGGGTATGTGTGATATTGTGACAAAACGTAATAGGAAAGGGACTTGAATATCATGCCAGCTAGGGACAGTTAACCATGCTTTGATGAATCATATGAATGATACAGAATCGAAATTATACTTTCATATTGCGCAAGTGAAAACAGACATATACAGTCTTAAATGGTTTTATTTGATACAGAAGGTGGAAAGAGTTTTGGAGAAGTCGCTTTGATGAGTGAAGATTCCGTGAGGAATGCTACGATTATAGCAGACGAGGAGACGGATCTGTTGGTTATCAGCCGAGAACTCTTCAATCGATCAATCAAGGTACTCTACCAATTATCAATTCACCCAATGGACAGTTGACGTCACGTGATGTTATAGACAGCAATATGGTCGCCATCAGCATGATGACATGCGCCGCTTTGAGTATCTGGACGTCCGTAAAAGACTTGGGCATAGTTAATTGCAATCATGACGTTATTGTCCTTTGTCATATTAACCGGATCGGTACCTGGAGGTTCATATATAAAAGAACTACTTCATTAGCACTTCAAAACGTATAATTGGTTTCCTCAATTTACATTTTTGTTACCAATGATTTATATAAAAACCAAAACGATTTCGGTAGTTCGATAGTTAAAAAAGAAGTTTCTCGATGAAATAAAACCGTTATATGATAATTTATTGTTAGTTACCAGGATTATCTAGGCGTTCTCAGGCTTTCTGTAAATAAGTGTGACATAATATGTTTATCTCTTTTACTCGATCGTAAATATATATCATTCAATATTATTATGACTAAATACAAGTTAGAAAGTTAGTAATATCAACATAGAGGTATTTTATCGTCATTATTACAGGCGAAACAGGAAGAAGAATATGAGGAAAAGAAGGACTTTATCAACAAAAGTCCATTTTTCCATAATTGGTCACCAAAGTTCAAACGTCTTCTGGAAATGAGTATAAGGAAAGAGCAGTATCCTTTTGGTAGTACCATTGTGAGACAGGGAGAAGCGGCATGTGGACTGGTGTTTCTGTTAAGGTAAGTCCACTGGTAAATCGTTCTTAGAAGACAGATTTAACGTCAATGTATTTCACCTCGGAATAGGTTTCACTGATCTCACCGTACTGTCTACACGCCTGTTAAAGACAGTGTAAAGTTACAGACGACAATACTGTTACGTCGCTTCACGGTTTTAAACGCCTAAAGAACAGTATAGTAGAGATTTGGTTTCCATGACGTACAAACATGACACGTTCATGTCACCTCCATTTGAAAACAAATTAAACAATGGACAGATTAAAAGTCAATGATATTTTTTTCAATAGTGGTCAAGCAAAGGTGACAGTGAACCCATCTCATCACAACGGCCAGTTCCCATTACTGACGAAACAGGAAATAAATCCGATTGCCAAGGAAATAGGAAGGTAAGATATATATCGGGCTAAAGTTTTCGGTTTAATACATCCAAATGTGCCCCACACCTATAATATCTCCACCACAAATTATCGTTTTTTCACTGAGCACAGATAACGCTGTGGATACAAGCTGTCATTCTTAGGCCTCCAGTTTTTGATGGACTCGGCCGTCTATCTAAAGTCTCTAAGTTTGTGTGGGTAGCGTTGGACACAGCTGTCTATATAAAGTCTCCAGTTCTATACAATAACTCTGAGCACAGTTATCAATCTTAAGTCTCTGATTTTGTATGGTTAGCGATGAAAACAGCTACATATATCTGTATGAAGTATCATGTTCTGTACGGATAATGCTGGGCACAGCTACCTATCTAAAATCTCTGGTTTTGTATGGGTAGCGCAGGACACAGCTACATGTATCTGTATGAAGGCACATGTTCTGTATGTGTAGCGCAGGACACAGCTACATATATCTGTATGAAGGCACATGTTCTGTATATCTGTATGAAGGCACATGTTCTGTATGGGTAGCGCAGGACACAGCTACATGTATCTGTATGAAGGCACATGTTCTGTATGGGTAGCGCAGGACACAGCTACATATATCTGTATGAAGGCATATGTTCTGCACGGATAACGCTGGGCACAGCTACCTATCTAAAGTCTCCAGTGTTGTATGGGTAGCGCAGGACACAGCTACATGTATCTGTATGATGTCATATGTTCTGTACGGATAACACTAGAAACAGCTATCTGTCCTAACGTCTCTGGTTTTGTTTGAGTACCGCTTGACACAGCTATAGCGTGCCCGGTTTTGTTTATATAGTGCTGCACGCGAAGATCTGTCTAACGTTTAAAGCTTTGCAGAGGTCTGTTTAATCTGGAATGTGATTGAGTCCTTGTGAGTTGACGATGTATATATATGTTGATGAGGTATACGTTGTCAGTGATCTCATCTTTTCACCGTTTCCTTTTGTGCTGACGCTGTGTTATAGTTCGCCCTTGTGTGCTGACGCTGTGGTATAGTTCGCCCTTGTGTGCTGTAGCTGTGGTATGGTTCGTCCTTGTGTGCTGAAGTTGTGGTATGGTTCGTCCTTGTGTGCTGTAGTTGTGGTATGGTTCGTCCTTGTGTGCTGACGCTGTGGTATGGTTCGTCCTTGTGTGCTGTAGTTGTGGTGTGGTTCGTCCTTGTGTGCTGACGCTGTGGTATGGTTCGTCCTTGTGTGCTGACGCTGTGTATGTGTCCTTGTGTGCTGTAATTGTGGTATGGTTCGTCCTTGTGTGCTGTAGTTGTGGTATGGTTCCTCCTTGTGTGCTGTAGTTGTGGTATGGTTCGTCCTTGTGTGCTGACGCTGTGGTATAGTTCGTCCTTGTGTGCTTTAGTTGTGGTGTGGTTCGTCCTTGTGTGCTGACGCTGTGGTATGGTTCGTCCTTGTGTGCTGACGCTGTGGTATGGTTCGTCCTTGTGTGCTGTAATTGTGGTATGGTTCGTCCTTGTGTGCTGTAGTTGTGGTGTGGTTCGCCCTTGTGTGCTGCCGCTGTGGTATGGTTCGTCCTTGTGTGCTGTAATTGTGGTATGGTTCGTCCTTATGTGCTGTAGTTGTGATGTGGTTCGTCCTTGTGTGCTGTAATTGTGGTATGGTTCGTCCTTGTGTGTTGGCGTCGCAGCATATTTCGCCATTTTGTTGACGCTGTAGTAAATTTACTTTGTGCCGTCCCTTATTTCAGTGTGAATTTTGTTTGAATACCGTAAGATTAATTAAACCTATACTCGTATACTTAACCATTGAATGGCGTCAGCTTCTGTTTATTACCAGCTATGTTTAATGTGGCGATAGTTATCTGTATTAAACTAGTAAACTATAATAAATGTATAAAATTTGTGTGGATTTCTTTCACATTTTACTATTTTGATATCTATCACTCGTGCTCCACGCACTTGTGAAAGCTAACCACATTTTAAACATGTATTTATTATTTATGACGATATTAAATATATATTCTATTTTTATTTAATTCTATTCGATTTACAACAACATGTCAATGTGAACACGATTTAGTCTGTACCCATTCATAGAAACTTTTATTTGTTAATACATAATTCACTACCATAATTTCCCTGTATTATGATAAATCGGTACACGAGAGAATACGGTCTCCGTATTTACACCTGATTGACTTTAATTAATTACTTAATTTTAAGACTTTTGCTGATATACTTTGATATTTAGCTTATAAATGATTTGTTCTTTAATCCAAATTCGTAGTAAAGATACATCTGTTCAGTGCTATTCATTAAAAAGTAGTCTTCACATATATAAAGATACGTGTGTAAAAACACTACGTCATCGTCCATTACCGTGAGTTTTAATTAATCTTTATACATGAAAGATGTGACGAAAACATAAAATTTATAGATATATTAGAAATAGGTTTCTGACAGTGTTACTAAGTAGTAAACTTATAACATGGATAGTGATACTATATCAACAATATTAACCAGTTTGCTTTTAGGACATTTGGTCGTAAAATGTAAAATATCACAGTCACCGTTTTCTATGATTTCAAACGTAGCATGACAACCGAAACTGTGAAATCGTGAGTGTTTCCCAAAGGTATACGTGTTTATATTGTAGCATCACAATTACACCTGTGTTTGTATTATTAACATATATTGGGGTTTATATATGATGTAAAGCAAATAAATGATCTAATTTGTATATCGTTTTACAGGTATTCAAACATTCCATCAACACGAGAAACCATTGACAGAAAATTGTATTATAACAATCTGACCACGACGTCAACAAGTACCAATTAAGATATACACTTATTCTCGTGTTACATAGAAACGCGAGACAATTTTCTCGTCCTAATTCAGATGTTTACTAATACCTACACGTACATGTTAGAGGACAAACAGAAAAGAGAAGTACCGACTGTTTAAGTATGTTTCACATGCTCTTGTCATGTTTGTTAAGTATTCCACAAACACTGGAGTTCTAACGGGTACCTCATTAATTAATAATGATGTGAATTGGACTTGGATGGAGTGTTATTTGATCACACGGTTTTAACCGCAACACTTTTAATTTACTAAAACCGTACATTATCATAAGAGGTGCTATGTTTGTATTACCGATCTCACCAACTTCTTCAAAAACTTCACGATATACTAAATACACACCCTATTAGTTCAAGAATACTCGAGCCCATAGAATTCTAGAATACCCTAACGACTTAACAAATTATATTCACAGAGTCTATGAACTAAAACGCTGATATGATAGTTAGAAGTCGGAGACATGGACAGACACCAGATAAATACCCGTAGTATAGTTCTATTTTTAGATGTATCCGTCGCTATATATAGCTACGCAACCATCTGGGAGAGATTTTGAAGCATGTCATTAGAATTTTTTTATGGTTATACAAAGAAAATATAGAAAACCAGTGCAAAATACCGAAAACCAGCGAAATATATCGAAAACCAGCTAAATATACCGAAAACCAGCGAAATATATCGAAAACCAGTGCAAAATACCGAAAACCAGCGAAATATATCGAAAACCAGTGCAAAATACCGAAAACCAGCGAAATATATCGAAAACCAGCGAAATATATCGAAAACCAGAAGGAAATATAGAAAACCAGTTGGAAATTTCGAAAACAAGCGAAAAATCACAAGTGAGCGAGTTTTAACGTGATCCCCCCCATCCCCCCCCCTTTAGTATCCAAAATACCCTATCGCTTTTAATGTTACTCTTCACTCTCCAATATATTCTTAATATTTCGTATGTCCGATTAGGATCATGGTTCCTTGTGGATTTCAATAAGAGTGGCTCCTAGATTCACCAAGTTGTCTTTATGGAAAAACCCTGAGATGAAGTTTTAACCATTATTTGACGCATATTGTTGTCCGACTGAAAAAAATATTTATTTTGTGTTATGTACCGTTCTTTAAGTTTATGTATCTCTGCCTAATTATAAGATGTATTCCAGTACTTTGCTGGTCAAACATCTCCCCGTTACATCCGGCTTGCCTGTGTTTAGCTGTTAAATGAGAGAGAACAAATATTGTCCTATTCGGTAGATTCCTCTATGTATATATTTGTAATATATCGATAAAGAGCATATAGTCACACAACACTTGTTTGATTAAAGGAACATCAAATAACTGTACGAAGTTGAACTTTGGTTGTTGTTGTAGAGTAAAACGGTATTTTCAAAACAAAACACTTACCGCCCTGTACAATAATTACTGGAACGTGCGAAGTTCAGCAAGCCCCCTAAAACACGGAACGTCACCCTGACTATCAAGACTCTGATTTTGTAATCACAGCACTATAAACTGTTCAAAACCATTCCACTCACTTGAAACGAACCATCATAGATGCTAGATTTTCACAAAATTTCAGATAAATCAAATCTCCAAGGATGGCATTGTCTATAACAGTTGTGTTTAATGGCCGTGCATAAACAATGACACTCAGATATGTAAAAGGAAAACACCGAAAATTAAAGATTTTACAAAAGTCTGAAGCTATAAATAACGAATACATAGGTCACGAAGGGATAAATCTGTCTTTTATTGTCTAATTCATGCCTCATTCAACGCAATAATGAGAAAATTACGGTCCTAGTTATACTGTCAATGATCTGTTCTGTATGAGAACATCAGTCTTCTTGCCTTATTTTATATCATAGCGTCGGTTCTATAATCATTATAGTATGTTAATATCGTTATTTGCTATTTAAAAGTAAATAACATATCTGGAATCCGATGTTTTATTTGGAACTTTGAACAAATTTTACCTTGGAGTTGAACTTTTTTCACGGCTATGCCATCTAACCGAACCTTAAAAAGGTTGGAAAAACTTATATCATTTAGAAAGAAATTTATTTCTAGGTGGTGAAGGATAAAACTAGTTAGTAAACTGGTCGTTACATGTGGAGACTTATAAATGGTGAAGTGATATGGTGTAAACCAGAAGAAACCCCTTCTATACGACAGCCAATGTACGGTCAGCAATGTTAATCTATTGTAGTCTATCTAACTGGGCACAAAAGATTAACACCAAACCAATGTATTTTGTGTAAGAATCATTTTATCATGTATAAAGTCTTGAGTCTCAACAGTATTTTTTTCTTTCCAATTAGAAATTCATACAACAAAATAGTGAAGAAGCGAGAACGTAACTTTACTCAGCATCAGATACAGATCCGTCGGAAGGAGGGTTACGCGGCGGCAGAGAAGAGAGTCATGAGTCGTACAGTGGAGCTTTGTTGTATTGAATCTAACGATGTCGTAGGTGAGTAAGTCTTGTCAGAGTATCACGTCTTGTCAGAGACTCAAGTCTTGTCAGAGTATCGAATCTGGTCAAAGTATCGAATCTGGTCAAAGTATCAAGTCAGAGTATCCAGTCTTGTCAGAGAATCAAGTTTTTTCAGAGTATCAAGTAGTGTGAGAGAATCAAATCTCAAATTTGTCCTTTTGTAAGCAGGCCCTTATATGATAGGTCACTACGTAGTAAATAATGAAAAAAGTCCATTGTTCACGGTACTTAAGTCATGTAACAATACGAATCAAACCATATGGCTTTATTTTAATAACGTAATATAAAGAAACATCGGAGTGAACATCTATTAACAATGCATGCGGATTTTCACATCCGTTAGAAAGATAATGATTTGGGGAAAAGGTTTTTAAAGAACTTTACAAACATCTAAAACATAATGTTCTTAACTGGCGTATGAGTCCTCCAAGAATGGTCCCCCATACCTATAGGTTTTATTAACATGAAAGTTCATTATTGATGTCTTTGAACTTTTAGGAGATATCGAGATGGTGATGGAGCTAGAGAGAAGTACATGTACTGTACATTGTACTGAGAACACAACAGCGATGGTGCTAGACACAAAGAACTATGACAGGTTGATAGCCAAGAAAAACATGCACACCATTAGAAAACTGTGCAAGTCTGCTCTCCAGAAGGTTCTTTGTAGAGCTAATTCAGGAAAAGGATCTCAAGTACCACTGCTAGATATACTCCAAAAAAAGTTACAGGAAAAACTGCCACCAAAGGACAACAACCTAAAACCTAAAACTGATCGATCTAAGTCAGTAGTGATGGAGCAGCTGATTCAGTTCTTCCTGAAGGACAAAGCTCCTCTCATTGAGCCGTGTGTACCAAATGCCTTGTATTATCGAATGAAATCCGAAAAACGTGCAAAAATGATAGAAATTAACGAAATGAAATTGAAGGGACAAGGGAATAAAGTGGAAAATAGGTTATATGACTATCGGTCCCGTAGGAAGGTGGCACGAAGTATGAAACAGTTGAAAAGCATGAGAGCAGAGAATGATCTCTTACGGACCAGCCAATCGGCGTGGGACTATCCACAATCTTCTCGCACCAGTTTACGGCCTCGCACCGCACTAGGCATACACAGGGAAATCAGTCATTCTCCCTCTTCTAGACCACATACCGCTGGAATATTCCACCTTACCGAATGCAACAACGCAGACGAGGAATCAGTTGTTTCACCTACCAGGGATGAACCAAGTGTTGCAATGTCAGATATATTAGAACAGATTGATCTCGTACAGAAAGAGAAAACAGAAGTCAGATCTAAAGTGATTTGTTCAGCAATGGCCGTCAGTGAAATTAACAAAACGAGCATGAGGAATGGAGGAAGTTCATCGAGTGCACTAACAGCCATGGAACCTTTCGACGAAGATTACTTTGACTGGGAAACGAGCGAGAGGAACCTATGTAACTTGGAAGACAGGATCAAACAGTTTTGCTCTGACGGTGACAGCAGGCCAAGCAAAGTGGCACCACAGGTAGCTGCTCTTAGGAGATTCAGCATCCGGGACGAGAAAGAGGTTAGTCATTTCATATTCAAAGAGCTCCATTTTTCGCACAATATTTCATTTTTGAACGTCAACGTACTCTAAATTTAAGTCTCCAAACAACACTTTTTGCAAACATTCTTAAAATCGAAAGCTTCTTCCTTGTAAATCCTTCATTACTTCATATATATCCCGATTCTATTGAATCGTTTTTTAATAAGAAGGAAAAGCAGTCGTAAATCTCTTTCCTTGAAACCATTCTAACACGAGTAAGGGAACCATGTCACTTTTCTTTCTGAAATAAACATTAATTTCTAATTGTGTGACGTTTTACAGGATGAGTCTTCGTTTGAGGTTAAGGTTCCTAAACCTGGAGGAACGGTATTTATAAAATCAAAGCCATGCCATCTTCCTCAAAAGGCAAATATTCACTCTGACGGGCATCAGCACGTTCGACGGTTTGTTGTAACACGAGATGAGACACAAGATATTTCCTCTATGTTGTCAAGACGACCTAAATCTGCACGGCCTACTCGCAGCATCAGCCCTCCCTCGCTCAGCGGCAGACGACCTAAAACTGCCATTGGGGGAAGGACATCTTTCAGTCGAACTGAATCCCTTGTACAAATGGTCGCTTCTTAAATCTGGCCTCGTCATGTATGGAATGTATGGTTCTATAGATCAGATCCCATGCAGCATACTTCTGGTTACGACATTTCATAGCGTTACTATTACACATAGACTTAATTCGGTGTTTCATAATGTGGATTGCAAAATCATAAAGATTGTCTGAACCGAAAATTAACGTTTTCAAGTGAGATCAGTTGTAGTTTTAATAGGTATGAACATTAAAAATGATTATTTACCTGTATTTGGGAATACAAAATGCAATTTTCCCTTAAAATGCCAGTTAAACCTTTGCAGGTCAGCTTTGTATCCAGAGACATTTTCATCTGTTCATTTGTTTCTTCTTATTCTGTTTTGATATCAGCACACATAAGTTACGGATAATTTTCGGACAGTATTCCGTTCGGATATCTCGGACGTCAACATTATTGAAGTACTCAATAAAGACAATACAGTGTTACTCAAGACTTCCTTTTTATCAGTAGTATTGAAACGTTTTCTGAAGGTAGAAATAAATATAGGATGACATCCTTACCTATTTGATACTGTACTTATAATAACTAGAACTTTCTACGTGTTTTTTTGTTTTATAAGACGTATCGTGCATAACATATCCCTAGGGAACATGTCGTGTTCGTCATATATAACAAAAATATGCAGTAAAGGCCACACCTAGACATGGATATATCTGCTGTAACACTCGGTAACAATTGTAACAATTTAAACAGATTATTCATTTTGATCGATAGGTTTTGAAAGAAAGAGTTTTTGAAATATGTGCAATATATGTTAAATACGCCGATGGTGACTTTATTTATCACAAATGTGTCTGACCATCCTAACATATATATATGTATGTCATGCGTTATATATTGCATGCACTTACACGTGTGTGTCCGTTGACAATTTACATGTACCTACTTAACGCTGGATTAATGACAGACAGACACCATCGTTCATTTCTCTTTCATTCCTTAAAAACAGGTCGTTAACTCCTGGCAAGTCGTCAGCACCAGTGATTGAAGGGAAACTCGTCAGAACATGTCATAGTGGGCTCGGTCGTCAGTACATGTATAGAAGGCAAGGTCGTCAGCACATGTCATAGAGGGCAGGGTCGTCAGTACATGTTATAGAAGGCAAGGTCGTCAGCACATGTCATAGAGGGCTCGGTCGTCAGTACATGTATAGAAGGCAAGGTCGTCAGCACATGTCATAGAGGGCTCGGTCGTCAGTACATGTATAGAAGGCAAGGTCGTCAGCACATGTTATAGAAGGCAGGGTCGTCAGTACATGTCATAGAAGGCAGGGTCGTCATTACATGTTATAGAATGCAGGGTCGTCAGCACATGTTATAGAAGGCAAGGTCGTCAGTACATGTTATAGAAGGCGAGTCGTCAGTACATGTTATAGAAGGCAAGGTCGTCAGTACATGTTATAGAAGGCAAGGTCGTCAGTACATGTTATAGAAGGCATGGTCGTCCACCCATGTTATAGAAGGCGAGTCGTCAGTACATGTTATAGAAGACATGGTCGTCCACCCATGTTATAGAAGGCAGGTCGTCATTACATGTTATAGAAGACATGGTCGTCCACCCATGTTATAGAAGGCAGGGTCGTCATTACATGTTATAGAAGACATGGTCGTCCACCCATGTTATAGAAGGCAGGGTCGTCATTACATGTTATAGAAGACATGGTCGTCCACCCATGTACATGTAATAGAAGGCAGGGTCGTCAGTACATGTTATAGAACGTTAGGTCGTCAGTACATGTTATAGAAGGCAAGGTCGTCCACCCATGTTATAGAAGGCGAGTCGTCAGTACATGTTATAGAAGGCAGGGTCGTCAGTACATGTTATAGAAGGCAAGGTCGTCCACCCATGTTATAGAAGGCGAGTCGTCAGTACATGTTATAGAAGGCAAGGTCGTCAGTACATGTTATAGAAGGCCGTCCACCCACGTTATAGAAGGCGAGTCGTCAGTACATGTTATAGAAGGCATTATAGGTCGTCATGTTACATGGTCCATGTTATAGAAGGCAGGGTCGTCAGGCCCATGTTATAGAAGTTATAGAAGGCAGGTCGTCGTTATAGAAGGCGAGTCGTCAGTACATGTTATAGAAGACATGGTCGTCCACCCATGTTATAGAAGGCGAGTCGTCAGTACATGTTATAGAAGGCGAGTCGTCAGTACATGTTATAGAAGGCGAGTCGTCAGTACATGTTATAGAAGGCATGGTCGTCCACCCATGTTATAGAAGACATGGTCGTCATTACATGTTATAGAAGACATGGTCGTCCACCCATGTTATAGAAGGCGAGTCGTCAGTACATGTTATAGAAGACATGGTCGTCCACCCATGTTATAGAAGGCAGGGTCGTCATTACATGCTATAGAAGACAAGGTCGTCAGTACATGTTATAGAAGGCGAGTCGTCAGTACACATGGTCGTCATGTTATAGAAGGCAGGGTCATGTTATAGAAGACATGGTCGTCCAGTTATAGAAGGCGAGTCGTCAGTACATGTTATAGAAGGCGAGTCGTCAGTACATGTTATAGAAGGCGAGTCGTCAGTACATGTTATAGAAGGCGAGTCGTCAGTACATGTTATAGAAGGCATGGTCGTCCACCCATGTTATAGAAGGCGAGTCGTCAGTACATGTTATAGAAGGCAAGGTCGTCAGCACATGTTATAGAAGGCAAGGTCGTCAGTACATGTTATAGAAGGCAAGGTCGTCCACCCATGTTATAGAAGGCGATGTTATAGAAGGCACGTCAGTACATGTCGTCCACCCATGTTATAGAAGGCAAGGTCGTCCACCCATGTTATAGAAGGCGAGTCGTCAGTACATGCTATAGAAGGCAAGGTCGTCAGTACATGTTATAGAAGACATGGTCGTCCACCCATGTTATAGAAGGCAATAACGTCATTATATTTTATTGAAGCAATGACGTCAGTACACATTACTAAAGGCAATGACATATTATCATAGGCAATGACGTCACTATCTGTCATTATCGTTTTTTCTTCACCACGATCTATCGAAGGCAGCCATTGCACTAGACGTGTACTATACATTGTATTCACCTTAAACAAAAGTTTATTTTGATACCATCTTCATACACATTTATATAGTGTAGTTTGTAGTCCCCTTCAAATCACAACCTTTCTCCAACAGTGTTTCCTTGATTTAAGTCTGATGCAGATAATCATGCTACTATGGCTGCTCGGCAAATCATGACGAATGCGGCTTCGATACACTACAACTGGTAAGTGTCATACGATTCGCGGGTTTTTTTAAAGAACCAACAAACTAAACAACCATTCCAATGTCATTATCATGGTTTGAGTCAGATACTAGAAGAACTAAATAAATTCCACACTGATAGAGGAGTTGCTTGCGGTATATAGGAAAACAAAAAACACAATCAATCTGTTTGCCTTGACTCGGACCTACAGACAGATAGACCAAATTTGTTTACTGTTAAACTTTCACTGGATTCGTTCTCAATACAAAAACAAGAGACCAATGCCCCTTTACAGTCACCTGAGGTCTTCAGGTCTTTGAACAGTTTTAGAATCTGTCGATCAGTCCAAGCATTGGGGCAGACAGAACGGAACTGATACCATATTTGACCCCTCTGACCTTGAAAGAAGGTCAAGGTAATTCATTTTAACAGACTTGGTAGCAATTTATCTCAGCATACTACTGGCCCGATCTAAGCACTCTGGGCTTTTTAGATTATAGAGAAGTTGTTTCAAAATTTCAACACATTTTGCTCCTGTGACCTTGAAAGTGAACCAAAGTAATTAATTTCAACATGTTTGGTAGTCTTACATCCCAGCATGCTACAAGCCAAATAGCATCCTTGGTCTATTTAATTATTGAGAAGGAAGTTGTTGAAAGAATTTTAACACATTAGGCCCCTGTGACCTTGAAAGCGGGTCAAGGTAATTCATTTTAACAAACTTGATAGCCCTTCATTTCAGCATACTACAGGCCAAATATCAGCACTCTGGGCACGATGCATGAGGGATGCCATCGGACAAAAGACGGTGACAATGCAAACATGTCAACAGAATCTTACTTAAACTCAAAATCAGGGGCAAATCATTATCAATTGAAATATTTATTTACACAGAGACACTTGTAAAAGCACAATGAGATAAAAACGAGGTGTTCCAGTTGTAAGCATCTTGTGCTTCCTGAGACACAACCTGAGTTAGTACTCCCAGGTTCTTAAACAGGATGGACAATGAAATGACCACGTACGCTAACGAATGCACTTAAAAAACCGTCTAACTTCATATCGTACAAAGAAATACAAGTAGGATGTCTGAACATGGACATCGACAGAAACTGACGTATCGTTGCTTTGTTATAAATTCTCCAATATTTATCGTGTTCACTAGTTAGAAGTAATTATTATAATCTACAAGGCTAGCCAGGGAAAGGAGTGGTTTAGATATTCATTCTGATCACCCAGAGTTACTGCCCTTCGTTTCATTATGTTAGCTTGCATTCTGACAGCCGATTGGGGTCGAGAATGGGGTGCTGTGAAACTAGTCTACGTGTATATAGATGTCATTGAATAAAAGTAGTGAGCGATATTTAAAAACAGTTTTTTAATTACCTTATTTGATAATATGATTATAATATTTGGTTTATACCAATGTATCTTGATAAATTGAAGATTTAAATCAGCAGTTATTTTTTTTACTTTGTTTTATTGGTGATCGTGGCAGTGTATTGATTCAAATAACAAATTACAATAATTCACAACAATTCTTCAGAGAGCACTAAAACCTTACAAAGCACGCCTCATCAGCAGACCGAGATCATATATCTTACAATTTCTCTTTACTTTTATACGCACTGTAAAATTTCAAAGTTGATTTATTTGTCGCTTTCTCCTCGCACGGTTTTTATCCAATCTCTTTCAAACATGGTAGGCTTTGTAACCAGGGCACGTGTTTTCAGGAGTTATTAGTTTTTGGGTTTTTTTCAGCATTG